GGGGGAGGTCGGTTTGTCACTGAATTCCCCTAATGGGGGGGTGGGGGTGGGAGGGACATTTTTTTAGCGTGGTGTTTTGTGGTTGCGTGTGTCCTACAGGGCTGGAATGGTACCTGCACTAGCCAATGGTAGTCGAGGCAGAGCAGAAGGCCTGCCCCCAGCAATAAAGGCGAATTGCTACTACCTGTCAAGGCTGAGCCTGGTCTTTCGCCGGTCTTCTGTGGAGCGCTATCAAAAGCGTGTTTGGTGATGGGGAGAGAGCCAGCTGCCGGGGCCTGCGCCATCCAGCCCCCGCAACGGCACGCTTCTGTCTTGCAACCCCCCCTCCTTTGACTTTTACCCTGCCCCTCCCCGCCGAGGCGGGCTCAGGGCGGCTTACATAAGGAAACAATAGAAAAACAATAAATATCAATATAAAATACAGGATAAAATTATTAGAATATTAACATAACAATGGCGATATAGCTATGGCACAATCTTGTCCCTCTTTCTTTCTTTCTTTCTCTCTTTCTCTCTCTCTCTCTCTTTCATTCTTTCTCTTTCTTTCTCTCTCTCTCTCTTTCTCTCTTTCTTTCTCTCTTTCTCTCTCTCTTTTAGGCCACCCTTCACTGTAAGCAGGGCTGTGGTCGGCTTACATCAGAACAGGACAATAAATAATCTAGATTAGATTAAAACCAGTAATAAAATACACAGCACGGACAATGGATAAAACAGACTATTCCAAGTTGGCGAGAAATCTCGACCAAAATTGCCACCTCCCACAATCTCCTGACGGCAGGTTGGTGGGGTGGGTGGGGGAGACCTGAGAGCCCCAGACTACTTGCTCTCCCGTCGCTGTCCTCAACCAAATGGAAATTCTCTCAGAGCTGTTCTCTCAAGGGCAGTCCTTGAAAGAGCTCTCTCAGCCCCGCCCACCTCACAGGGTGTCTGTTGTGGGGAGGGGAAGGGAAAGGAGTTTGTAAGCCGCTCTGAGACTCCTTTGGGTAGTGAAGGGAGGGGGATAAATCCAATCTCTTCTTCTCTTCTTCTTCCCCACTCCTCCACATGCAGCTGCTGGTGTGACCTTGGGTCAGTCACAAGTTCTCAGAGCTGTTCTTGAAAGAGTAGTTTCTGTCAGAACTCCCTCAGCCCCACTTACCTCACAGGGTGTCTGTTGTGAGGAGGGGAAGGGAAAGGAGTTTGTCAGCCGCTCTGAAAGTCCTCAGATAATGAAGGGCAGGATATAAATCCAATCTCTTCTTCTTCTCTTCTCATAAGAACATAAGAGACACCAGTGTTGGATCAGGCCAAAGGCCCATGCAGTCCAACACTCTGTGTCACACAGTGGCCAGAAATACCAGGTGCCCTCAGGAGGTCCAGCAGTGGGGCCTGGACACTAGAAGCCCTCCCACTGTTGCCCCCCCCCCAAGCACCAAGAAGACAGAGCATCCCTTGCCCCAGAGTCCCTATCTATACCTTGTGGCTAATAGCCACTGATGGACCTCTGCTCCATATGCCTATCTAATTCCCTCTTGAAGCCATCCATGCTTGTAGCTGCCACCACTTCCTGTGGCAGTGAATTCCATGTGTTCATTACTCTTTGGGTGAAGAAGGACTTCCTTTTATCTGTTCTAACCTGACCGCTCAGCAATTTCATGGAGTGCCCACGAGTTCTTGTATTGTGAGAAAGGGAGAAAAGTACCTCTTTCTCTA